GATGAGCATGCTGATATTTATAAATTCATTAATGGAAAAGAAAGGATCTTCTAATTTCAGGAATTAGCACCTCTGAGACAAAATGATCTGTTTCTAATGTATACTCTCCAATAAAAGACCTTCTCTCTTCAGTCAGTTCCCATCTCAAAAATGGCAACTCTGGTAGCTTATGAACTGGCTTAGTCTTTTGTGGGTGGGACTAAGTGCATTAAGTTTAGGTAGGGAACACCTTGGCTTATAGATTTCAGACATTCACACCTTTTAAACAGTCTCTCACAGTCCTTATTTATGGTGCCAATAACATTTTTTTTTCAAAGGTAAAATATTCTGGACATAGAAGCAAATCATTAGTTGTCTGTTCTTTCCATTGCTGCTTCGCCATTTCCCCTCTCAGTCCCCACATTTTAATCAAAATGATGCTATTCATCTCCCTTTCTCCCCTTCTTACTCCTCCCTCCCCCAAATAATACAGCAGTAATAGCCAAAAAGTACACACATGCTATGCTGTAAAAATGCAGAGTTAACACTATTGGGAGGAAAGCTGTGGGTTATAGAGATGCTCTTTGAGGATCTACAGAATTTTTTGCTCCCCCGCACATCCAGTTCTGCAAGTTCTGTCCTTTATAGAAGGCCCTTTGCTTTTTCTCAGCGAAGTGTAGAAAAGGTTGCCTTGAAACACTTATCCCCCTTCCCTTCCACTGGGATGGGTGTGCAAGCTTGGAATGGCTTTAAAGCAGTTGGGCTGCTGCAGGGGGGGCACGGTAACTACACTGGCTCTTCAAAGGACATCTTCTCAAGCCACCTCTATGGTGTCAAGACAAGTAGAACTCCTTCCCTTCCCACCTGAAACCCACAGTCAGATGTGACAGGTGCTGGCACTCAAAGAGAGTTAATTCTTGTCATCTCTTTTGTCATCATCCTCCGTGGAGTAGAAATGCCCACATCAGCCTTTCCTCGTAGAAGGATATGACAACTTGTGGGCATTTGACATTGACTTACTTGGCAGGAACCAGGTCAGCTTCATCCGAGTTTTTCCGTTTCATCAGGAACGTGAGCTCTCTACAAGAGTCTGTAGCTCCAATAATCTGCTCCAGTTCCAAACCTTGAGCAAACTTCGTGGCTTTTCTTTTCCTCCCTCCCTCCTTCCCTCCCTCCTTTCCTCCCTTCCTCCCTTCCTTCCTTCCTTCCTTGTTCCTTCTTTCCCAGTCTCGTCCCGGTGCCAGGCACCAGGCTGGAGTGCAATGGCGCAACCTCGGCTCACTGCAACCTCCGCCTCCCAGGTCCAAGCAATTCTCCTGCCTCAGCCTCCTGAGTAGCCGGAACTACAGGCACGTGCCACCACGCCCAGCTAATTTTTGTACTTTTAGTAGAGACGGGGTTTCACCATGTTGGCCAGGATGGTCTTGATCTCTTGACCTTGTGATCCGCCCACCTCGGCCTCCCAAAGTGCTGGGATTGCAGGCGTGAGCCACTGCGCCCGGCCGCCTCGTGGCTTTTCTGACTCTTCTTTCTTCTTTGGTTTGCTGTTCTCTCCCTTATTTTCAGAATGAGAATCAGCTTTGCACTTGCCTTCCTCTGATTTATCTGCCTCATGTGCTGTTTTCTGTGACTGCGGAAACTCATGAAGTTGGGGCAATCCAGGTTCTCTTCTGGCTCCCATGTGTTGTCCTCATATGAGAACCCCTTCCACTTTAGGAGATGTTTCACTTTGCCCTTCACCACTTGATAGTCGAGAACTTTTTCCGCCACATATTCCTGTTCCTCATCTTCTAGCACCTCCTCTGCTTTCTTCTTGTTTCTTCCCCCCTCATAGTGTGTGCCAGCTTTCTGGTGTAAAGGGTGGTGCTGTTCAGAGCAGCGCCCAACAGCCGGAGAGGAATCGGTGCTGCGCTACTGGCGCATCGCGTCGGGTTGGATTGGCTAGGGGAGTGGCGTCCAGAAAAGCAGCAAGCTGGGTGGCCACAGTGGGGCCGTGGCCAATGGCCCTTCCCTCAGCCAAACAAAAGAGCCTGGCACTCTGTGCTGCCTGCCACCAGCACTGCCTTCATAATCTAGTAAATGTTATCTATGACAAACCTACAGCAAACACCAACACTGTACCTTATGGTGAGCTAATAAATGCTCCCATTTGAGATCAACAGAAGACAAGAATGCCCGTTATCACCATTTAAATTCAACTTTTACAGTATGTAATTCTAGCTAGGTAAGACCGAAAAAACAAAAATGTGGCAAAGGTACTGAAAAGAGGAAACAAAGCTCCTCTTAATATTTGTTCAATATGGTTGGCACAGTGGATACACCTGTAATCCCAACACTTTAAGAGGCCAAGATAGGAAAATTGCTTGAGCCCAGGAGTTTGAGACTGCCATGTTATCATCGTGCCACTTTACTCCAGCCTGGACAACAGAGTGAGATCCTATCTCTTAAAAAAGGTCCGTTGGGGGGAAATAGGGGAGGGGCATGGGGGTGGGGAGGTGGGAAGAGATAGCATGGGGAGAAATGACAGATACAGGTGAGGGGACGGAAGGCAGCAAACCACACTGCCATGTGTGTACCTATGCAACAATCTTGCATATTCATCACATGTACCCCAAAACCTAAAATGCAATAAAAAAAAGTATAATATTTTTTATATAAGTGTGGGAGCTTCCCCGCCACCAAAATGCTCTCAGAATTTAATGAGGAAACTAACCTATGCCACTCTTAGAATGAAAGACTCAGAATGAACAACGGACACATACCTGTGATACTGTTTTGTTGCTTGGAGCTCAGTTGTGAGAAACTGAAACAGGATTCCATATTAAATGGTCTCAGTCTGTTACTCCATTTCTTCTTCATATTTGGGCCAATTTCTGATGAACCCCAATAAATGGTGTTGTAGGTGACATGCTTTTATCTACAGGTGTATACAGAAATAGACCCACACATCATCTTTTACAAGAGCAGGGCATTTGCCTTTTTAAACAATTAAATCATGCAGAAGAACTTAATGAGATTTGAATCAGGATCTAAATACTGTTTCTAACAACTCTCAAGGCAGTGAGTAGAGACAGTCAGTCACAGGGGTTACCTGGTTGGTTTCCTCTCTCTCAGGGTTCACTGTCTTTTGTTGCCTGATTTTCCAGTTCCTTGAAAACTGTTGTTTCGTATTTTTTTCTATCTGTTTTTGATTGTTTTAAATGGGTGGGTAAATCTGCTCTCTGTTAACTTCATCTTGGCTGGAAGCAGAAGCCAATTTAATTAAATGGCTCATCATTTCTTGTATAGTCCTTTTTTTTTGGTTAATAAAGAGTTGTTTTAATACACACACATTATTCCAATACAATTGCTTGGCCTCTTTCTTAGAAGCTTGCACAGATTTTGTTTATTTTATTTTAATTAATTAATTAATTTTTGAGACGGAGCTTCACTCTGCTGCCCAGGCTGGAGTGCAGTGGCAAAATCATGGATCACTGAAGCCTCAAATCCTGGGTTCAAGCGATCCTCCTATCTCAGCCTCTCCAGTAGCTGGGACTACAGGTGTGCACTACCGCACCTGGCTAATTGTTGTATTTTTTGTAGATAAGGGGTTTCTTCATGTTGCCCATGCCTGTCTCAAACTCTTGAGCTCAAGGGATCTACCCACCTTGGCCTCCCAAAGTGCTGGGACTACAGCATGAGCCACCATGCCTGGCCTGTTTCATTTGTTTTGAAAGTAACTGTTAACTTTTAGAGGTCCAATCTGTAAGGACCTAAAGAGTAGGAGCCCTGAGATGAATAATTCCTGAAGGCTTTCAGCATTCTCTCCTGCTGTGTGCTTTGTTACTGACGGCTGTTCAAGCTCTTACCATCTCTGGAGCTTTGACCCACTGATGTGTTTCATACATTTTAATGAAAGACAGATTGAGAGAAATCATAGATAGGCCCACAGGATTGTACCATATCCATGCACTGGCTCAAAATGAAAATGTGATACTACCGTGAGTTACATTTGTGGAAACCACCAAACTCCGTCTTACAGCTTGTCTGATCCAGCTAGCTAAGGGAAATCAAAAGTAATTTGCAAAATCTTTTATGTTCTTGGTACATTACTCCGATTTATTTTTTAAGGCACAGAAAATTGTCCAAATGCATACTACAAATTAGCAAATAAACTACATACATATAGTTATTTGGACCATGGTGTTTTTCTAAGACCTTTGTAAAGAATGTGGTTCAACTCGCCACTGTGTAATGCTAAACTTACTTCTTGTATGTTATTATGAACTTTATAATTTCATAGCAGCTGTTTATTTTCTTTGCTAAGGTACAATTCAGATGTTCTTGGCTTAACACAGTATTGTCTGTATCTCACAACATTTAAAGTTAGATTGATACTTTGTAAAGATTCTTCAGATGTGGCCAGATTATTTTAGAAACAGCTTTAGTTATCCCTGATAATAAATATCAGGGAGAGAAAAAGAAATTGAGGTGTTTGAAGAATCCCTAAATATCATTTCAGTCCATCACTGTCGGCCTCCCCCACTGCTTTCAGATCCATTCCCAGGTGCATTTACAGGGCAGCCAAGCTTCCTCATTTGGGTTCCAGCTCCCTTAGTTTCTGTAGCATACTCACTGAGCTAATGAGCAGTGTAGTGGCTGAGAGCTAGGGAGAAATATGAGGGAAATCAGAGATGACTCTTTCCGACTTTTGTCCTAGATTGTTTGAAACTAAGTAACATTAGAATAATGAAGAATTGACCACCTTTCCCATGCCGCGTTCCAGGTGTCTTTTCCATACTGTTTTATTACGTCATCTTAATCATAACAGCCTACATAAATACTTTAGTTTGGGTTAGGATGAAAATGAAAAAGGGATTAGAAATAACATTTACTCTTTTTTCTTAAGCCTTCAGAAGGATTTAAAAAACTTAAAGATGTTAAATGCAAATGCCATTGCCATTCCAAGTTAACAAGTGTTAAGAATTTTTTGTTGTTTATTTTTGGGGTTGATCCTTAACAGTATGTGTTTTTCTTTTCAGCTACTAAGTCAGGATTGTTACCCCCACCACCTGCGCTCCCTCCGAGACCTTGTCCATCACAGGTAGGAGACATATTTGATTTCCGTAAATTGTTCGGTGGTAGGGAAGTTGTCCTATCGCTGTGTTTCTTTGCAAGGGTTGATTGCTACAGATCTGGTCCATGAGATTCCCAAGCTGATACCCTATGAAGAGAGCAGAGAGTGGTTTAATTTCTTCTCATCCAGCCAGCACTCCAGCCTCATGTGGAAGAGAGAAAGTTTCCTCAATAAGCCACCAAGCACACATATACTAGTTCACTCTTGGCTGTCCAGGGGTGCATCTGTTTTCCTCCAGAGAGAAGAGTAGAAGAAGGGGTCTCTCTCTAATTGGAAGTGGGGACATGGTTTTTCTGTATAGTATGTGCAGTCTAGGTGCCTATATTTTCATCAGCACTTTAGGAGCTGTGATTAATTCTACATAAATTTAAAAAAATGGTTATCAACATGGGGTTAGTGCCATGATTTTGGCCTATGGTGCTTTCTTTAGGATGGTATTTTTCCTCAGAACAAAAAGCTGAAATAGCAGGAGTGGGAGATCATGTCACCAAGATCTGTTTCAGCTCTAAATTAATTCTGCCTTATTTACATGTGCTACTATGGCCTTATTCATCAACACTTTGCAAAGCTGAAAATGAGAAGCAAATAGCAAGTCTATGGAGCATGGAGCATGGTATATGGTGCTACAGATCTTTCCTTTTGTTAATTGCTGCTGAAGAAACTTTCTATCGTTAAAGACTTTTCATGATTTTTGGCAGAAAATGTTGGGAAATTTCTCTGTAGATAGTCCCTGATTCTACTTTATTGTTCTGGGTGGTTCAGAGCTATCCTTCCATATGGGGACATCTCAGGACTCATGAGTCAATGAAACTACTTTTAACACATGCTTGTCCTTCTTTCAGCGAATGAAATGGTTTTTAGCATCCACTCAACCTTGAGATACAAATACAATGAGGTATTGGCTTTCTGCTTTAGTGTGAAAGGTAATAAAAAGCCCATTTCTTCCTGACTTGCATATAAACCAGTGAAATCTCCTTTTTCAGGATCTGACATTGGCCTTAAGAGATATTGGGTGAACCGTCAACAAGTATTTATTGAGGCTCTGCTGTATATCTAATGCCAAACCTTAGTTTCCCCTAAGTCTTTCCTTGGCTATAATTTCTTCTCATTCAAATTATTAGCTATGGCTATTGAGCATCTATAATAAACCAGGCATTATGCTAAGTGCTTTCAGTGCATTGTTTAAACCTCACAAAACTCCTCTGAGGTAGATACAGGTACTAATACTATCCTTTTTTACAGATAAAGAAGTTGAAGTATACAGGGGCTAAGCAAGTTACCCAAGGCGGCATAGCTAGTAAATAGTAGAGCCAGATCCCAAATTGCAGTCTTTCTCCTAAAGGCCCCATCCTGTCCCCATCACTGAAGTCTAAGTGTCTATGTATACAGCCAGACAGCAGATCCATTGCACTTGCAATGGAGGCTTTCATCACAGGCCCCTAAGGAGGACCTTGATGATATGAAGCTCCTGCTCTGCACCAACAGCAAACCTGGACTTGGTCACAACTAAATGAGGAGGCATTTGCTAGCTGCTAGTTCAAGCCTGGGGCTTGAGGGCCACCTGGTCGAATGCATGGAAGACCTGTCTGAAAGGGCTTTTGTAACCAAACTCCTAACTTGCTCTTGCTATGAAAATGCCAGTTAAGTCCCAAAATATGCTGCTGCTATCAGGAGTCTTACCTGAGCTGCTTGAGGTGGGCCTCTTGCTTGCTTTTAGAGCTTAGTCACCAAAGATATGACTAAGGGACTGGGAATTCTCTAGTTACTGTTGATGAATGAGTCTGCTTCTTCGTCTATCAGATTTCCCATCACAGTATAAACAGTGAGCCCAGTTCTCAGCCCAAGCCTCCAGCTCAGCTACCTAACTATGGAGATTTCAGATTTTAAGAACAGATGTGTAAGAAATGGAGGCAGAAAATCCACATTCCATTTCTCTCCCCCATTCCCTCCTTTTGCCTACTGTAAGTGGGACACATACATTCAAATATATGAAGTCCTGGACAATACACACATGGTTATATTTAGTTTTTGTGCTATGTCAAATTGACATTGACCCTAGGAGAATCTTACTAACCAATTGTATGGGACACCTATATAGTCTAGTCTTTCCCAAACTGCTTGTGATAAAACAGTCTCTGGGAGGTATTAATAGGACTCTGTGATACAGATTTGCAGGCTGCTGCCCCTCTACCCCCTCTGGGAGAGTCACTGTGTAAGTGAGCTCACTAAAGGCTTTGAAGGCCTATAGTAAGGAAAGCTGGTAAATTCTGTTAAAGCCAGCAATTTCCTAGCTTTTATGACCATTGATATCTTTATTTATAAAATACATGTTAGGATACAAAATCAATGTGCAAAAATCACAAGCATTCCTTTACACCAAGAATAGACAAGCAGAGAGCCAAATAATGAACTCCCATTCACAATCACTATAAAGATAATAAAAAAAAATCTAGGAATACAGCTAACAAGGGATATGAAGGACCTCTTCAAGGAGAACTACAAACCACTGCTCAAGGAAATACGAGAGGACACAAACAAATGGAAAAACATTCCATTCTCATGTATAGGAAGAATCAGTATCGTGAAAATGGCCATACTGCCCAAAGTAATTTGTAGATTCAATGCTATTCCCATTAAACTACCATTGACATTCTTCACAGAATTAGAAAAAACTATTTTAAATTTCATGTGGAATCAAAGAAGACCTTGTATAGCCAAGACAATCCTAAGCAAGAAGAACAAAGCTGGAGGCATCATGCTACCTGACTTCAAACTATATTACAAAGCTACAGTAATTAAAACAGCATGGTACTGGAACCAAAACAGATGTATAGACCAGTCGAACAGAACAGAGACCTCAGAAATAGCACCACACATCTACAACCATCTGATCTTTGACAAATCTGACAAAAACAAGCAATGGGGAAAGGATCTCCTATTCAGTAAATGGTGCTGGGAAAACTGGCTAGCCATAAGCAGAAAACTGAAACTGGACCCCTTTCTTACATCTTATGCAAAAATTAACTCAAGATGGATTAAAGACTTAATGGTAAAACCCCCAAACCATAAAAACCCTAGAAGAAAACCTAGGCAATACCATTCAGGATTTAGGCATGGGCAAAGACTTCATTACAAAAACCCCAAAAGCAATTGCAGCAAAAGCCAAAATTGACAAATGGGATCTAATTAAACTAAAGAGCTTCTGCACAGCAGAAGAAACTATCATTAGAGTGAACAGGCAACCTACAGAGTAGGAGAAAGTTTTTGTAGTCTACCCGTCTGACAAAGGTCTAATATTCTGAATTTACAAGGATCTTAGACATATTTACAAGAAAAAAACCCATCAAAAAGTGGGCAAAGGATATGAACAGATACTTCTCAAAAGAAGACATGTATGCAGCCAACAAACATATGAAAAAAAGCATATCATCACAGATCATCAGAGAAATGCAAATCAAAACCACAATGAGATGCAATCTCATGCCAGTCAGAATGGCAATTATTAAAAAGTCAGGAAACAATAGAAGCTGTTGAGGCTGTGGAGAAATAGGAACACTTTTACACTGTTGGTGGGAATGTAAATTAGTTCACCTATTGTGGAATACAGTATGGCAATTCCTCAAGGATCTAGAACCAGAAATACCATTTGACCCAGTAATCCCATTGTTAGGCATGTACCCAGAGGAACATAAATCATCCTACTATAAAGACACATGCACACATATGCTTATTGTAGCATTGTCTACAATAGCAAAGATACGGAATGAACCCAAATGTCCGTCAGTGATAGACTGGATAAAGAAAATGTACTGACACAAGAACAGAAAACCAAACACTTCATGTTTTCACTCATTAAGTGGGTGTTGAACAATGAGAACACATGGGCACAGGGAGGGGAACATCACACACTGGGGCCTGTTGTGGGGTTTTGGGGGGCAAGGGGAGGGATGGCAGGGGGTGGGAGGATTGGTGAGGGATAACATTAGGAGAAATACCCTAATGTAGGTGACGGGGGGGATGGATGCAGAAAACCATCATGGCATGTGTATACCTATGTAACAATGCTGCATGACCTGCACATGTACCCCAGAACTTAAAGTATAAAAATAAAAAAAGAAAATGTGGTAGATATATACCATGGAATGCTATGCAGCCATTAAAAGGAATGAGATCATATCCTTTGCAGGGACACGGATGAAGCTGGAAGCCATCATCCTCAGCAAACTAACACGGGAACAGAAAACCAAATACCACGTGTTCTCACTCATAAGTGGGAGTTGAACATTGAGAACACATGGATAGAGAGAAGGGAACAATATACACCACAGCCTGTTGTGGGTTGGGGGGATGAGGGAAGGGAACTTAGAGGGTGGGTCAGTAGGTGCTGCAAACCACCATGGCAGACGTATACCTATGTAACAAATGTACACGTTCTGCACATGTATCCCATTTTTTTAAATAAAATTTAAAAATCTGTATAACAAACCCTATGTAACAAACCTGCATGTGTACCTCTGAGCTTAAAAGGTGTTTTATAAAATGTTAATAAATAATATGCCTGTTAATATCCTGAGGGCTTAATGGTTATGAAACAGTTATACACCAGTCTTAAGGTATTGCTAAGAACATTTCCAAACCTTTCTCATCTTTCACCTTATCTCTGTATTATATGGTTAAAGTTAAATTTTATATCTTATGCAATAGTTTTCCCTAGAAAAATTGAACATGAAAATTTACAGCACATTAACTTGGGATTTCACATTGTCCATGTTTTCAGTTTGACCTGGTTTCATCCTCGCTTTTCTGTTCCTTCTCACTTACTCTCTCATAAGGTCATTTTTACCACCCCACAGCAAGTTTTATTAGAACTTAAACACTGAATTCTTACTTTGGTCCGTTAAATTTTTTGAATGTTCCTTGCTATATGAGGCCCATCAGCCTGAATTTGGAAATATATCTATATCTAT